TTTGCCTGCAAGTAAAAACTGGTGGGGCTATAAAATGAGAAAGTCATAGGAAATGAACAAGCTAAAATGTTTTGGGATTTTAGAATTCAAACTGACAGATACCTACCACACAACACGTCAGAGTTAATAATTGTCAGAAAGAAAGACCAAAAAAGTCTGGATAGTGGACATGGCAGTACTTGAAGAAAGCAGAAGAGAACTGGAGAAGATAACAGAATATCTGAAAATTCTGATAACAAAATCTACAAGTAGAAATAGAACAAATGTGGCAAAAGAAAGCAAAGGCAGTACCAATAATGCAATCCCAAAACAACTAGAGCACCACTTGAACACAATCAGCATTGACAAATCCATTATCAGTCAATTGCAAAAGGCAGCTTTACTCAGAACAGCTTATATCCTGCAACAATACATCATCAAACATCCACATATGCCTGTCCCAGGTCCTTGGAAAAGATTTGATAGGTAGAAAAAAGGCCAAATCTAGTCTGAGAATCTGACTGACTGTGCAACAAACTACATAACTAATATCATCATATAATTCACTAGAAAGTTTTGAACATATCAAAAATGTGGTGAAAAACTAACCTGCAGTTTATTTACATGCCTTTTTGAATGTACCACTGTGGTGGTAACACTACAGTGACAATGAAGAACACAGTCCTGATTTCACTTAACAAAGACAATTTAGTGCTACTACTAAAAAATTAGACAGTAGGAATCCTGTAATTTAGAACTTTATGGTCTGAAAACTGCACATCAAAAATGAGGATTAAAGGTAGGTAAATGAGCCTCAAATAGCAATGGAATTAGATGTTTGGGCTTGGTCTTTGCAGTAGATAGGAACGAAGTTTTCCAGGTTTTGACTCACAAGCAAATGTCCCCATGCCAAGAAGGAGGTGACTCCATATGCTTAGAGTCCAGATTTCAAAGCCCATATCCCTAGCTTTACATTATTCCAGCTGGGATTGGATTGTGTTGCCTATTGGCTATGACCTTGTAAAAGCAGAGGGAAGGTTCCTGCAACTTCTGCCAAAGTACTTCACTCTCTTTTAGCTATTGACTTGCCACTCTCCATTTTACAGGATTGTAACTGAGACAGCTTTCCCAAGTAGACAGGAAGTTCAAATAGGGGTTGAGTAGATTGGGATAACAGGTCTTGCAAACTCAAACCTGGGGCAGGCAAGAGATGGCAAAAGGATGACAGGTGAGGTGGGTCTTCCGGAAGTAGCTAAGTGAGCAGCAAGACTTTGGTTTCCACTTCCCAGCCAGACTCCAACATAGCTGTAGCCACTATCTTTTAAACCATAAGGCCACAATGCAAAATAATCCAAGAGGGCCCAGGAATCGATTTTGGCCTCCATCATTCTCTCCCAAATCTTATAACTGTAACTGTAAAAGCAGCAGCTGAACCTGTGTTCTCATGAAGTTGTTGGTTTCTTTTTCTCTGAAGAATGGTTCTTTGCTTCAAAGGAAGTCCCAAGTGATAAAGGAGAAGATGGGAGATGGCCCTGTGTCTCACCAGAAGATTCACAAATGAAGCCTGAAGATTCCGGAAGAAGTATCCCCAATTCAAAACTTGTATCAGTAAGGTGGTATCTCAGCATCACACCAGGCCTGAGCAAAAAGTCACCCAAAGGTGAGGCAATTTAAGACCAGTGTTTCCATGACAACAGACCCAACAACAACAGTTGGTGAAGTTTTCTCTGTTCTTGGTACCTCCAGTCTGAGGGAGCAGAAGGAAGTAGACAGCAGATCTTCTATATATCACTCTAATCAATTAGCACATATCTTCCACTCCCCTCAAAATGTACTACAACTTTAGATTTCAGTAAATCCGGGAAGAGGCTTATAGCTTTTTGCTTTGTACAGTGTGATTCAGTAAGGTAAAGGTGAAGATTCCCCTCACACATATGTGCTAGTCATTCCTGATTCTAGGGGGTGGTGCTCATCTCCTTTTCAAAGCCAAAGAGCCAGCGCTGTCCAAAGATACCTCTGTGGTCATGTGGCTGGCATGACTAAAAACCGAAGGCACACGGAACCTTAACCATTCCTTCATTTCCTCTTTCTTCATATTAACTGAGAATAATGGGAGTTGAAATCCACACATCCAGATAGTACCAAGTTGGAAAAAGGCATGTTTCTCTTCAGTAGGATGTTACAGTGGTTCCATAAAACTTGTTCTCAGGTAGAACAATATACTCTAAACCTCTAAACTAGAAGGCATAGGAAAGTTTGTTATGGGGTCGATAATGGTATTTATTTCATGCTTGCCTTTTAGAGCAATTGATGGTAGCTAATGATAGAAAATTGAGAACTTTCTTCCCATACAAATGACATCAAGCTTCTCGTGGATTGTTCAAAAGGTGATGAGCTAGAATAATGAGAGTTTTGCCTTGAAATAAATTCTTGCTCTACACAGTGCCAATGAAGTAAATTGATTTGCTGCCTGGGGGAGGCTTTGATAAATCATTTGCAATTTGCATTGGGTTATAAATAACTGGAGGGCAATAGCAGCAACACCCCCACATACTGCAATAGAAACTCATTGAGAGAAAAGCACTGCATTGGGCAGTAGGTTGCTATAGACCATAGGTAATGGATTTTTAAAGAAATAAGATCAGAGAGCTACCAAGTCAGATTAGCTCTCAGATTCATCAAGCATGAACAATTTTCTGCTCCTCTGATTGAAGAAGGTAGAGAATAGATTTAAGATTATGTTTATTTTATTGGTTTATCGTTCACTATCAATGTGAAAAATACAGTTACAAATTAGTAAGTGAGAAACAGAGATATCTGTGGTCACGGGTATATGTGACTCCGCTATCCCTTTTGGATGGACCTTTAATGTTCTCTCTTTCTCTCTCTCTTTAATTTACCTTTTGTGACATTGTCCTTGGAGTCCCATCAGCTATAACACTGATGTTACCTAGGTTGTCAGAAGTTGATTTCCCCAAAGTGGTGCCTTCCAGGTGTGTTATGATTACAGCTCCTAGATTTCCCAGCCCTATTATGGAAAACTAATTTAGAACCCTGAGAAATAATAGCACGGGGATTTTCTGAAGAAAACACATTTCACGTGTAATGTAATATAATATATTCTTACATACAGTATGCCGGAACTCAATGGGAAGAACAGCTACTTTCTCTCTGCCATCTTTTTCTTCCCACACAACAGAATCATGGGAAACCAGTAAATTGCTCTTGCCAAAGCTGAAGGGATTGCTTACTGAGGACTTGGACCCAAGAAACAAAAGCTGCATATCTTTCCTATAGGGTTATGAGGACTGTTTGAGATACAGTTTTTGAGTGGCATGGTGGACCAATGGTGAAGACATTTGCCTCCCACTCAGAAGGCTGAGAGTTCAATTCTAGGTAGCAGCAGATGTTTCTCTTTCCCAGGGTGCAAAGAAAAAAAAAATCTGCTGCGACTCTGCATAGGCATCAGGAACTGCATCCAGCCAGTAAATGCTGAACTCCACCCCGTCACCCTGACTCTATTCCGAATAGAGGCTACAGGATTGTAAAAAAAAAAAAAGGAGGTTTGTTTTGTGATGCAGCTTTCATTATTACAGTTGTTGCCCTCCTCCTCTTCCTATTGTATTTGTTGTTTGTGCAGATTATCTGTGAAATGAGATAGGGAGAAAGGCCTCCTCAAATGGTGTCTTTCCAAGGCCTATTGTTTTTTTTTTAATGTATATTTATTTACATAGTTTGTGCACCAGTTGTGGAAATTATCTTGAAAATGGAGAATATCAATCATTTATAAAATTGCAAATGTTGGGATTGAAAAGGACCTTGGAGGTAAATCCAGTACAGTCATTTTTCCAATATGGGTATCTACTACTAAACAATCCCCAGCAGATATTCAAGATCATTCAGGTTCCTAAAGCAAAAGACAGTCCACCAGTTTCTATGGCAGTGTATTTCTCTATTGTAACCTCTCTTACAATGGACTCAGTGGCTAAGACGTTGAGCTTGTCAATCAGAAAGGTTGGCAGTTCAGCAGTTTCAGTCCCTAGTGCCACATAACGGAGTGAGCTCCCATTACTTGTCCCAGCTTTTGCCAACCTTGCAGTTCGAAAGCACATAAAAAGGCAAGTAGAAAAATAGGAACCACCTTTGGTAGGAAGGTAACAGCCTTCTGTGCGCCTTTGGCATTTAGTCATGCCGACCACATGACCACAGAGATGTCTTTGGACAGTGCTGGCTCTTCGGCTTTGAAATGGAGATGAGAACCGTCCCTAGAGTCAGAAATGACTAGCACATATGTGTGAGGGGAACCTTTGCTTTTAATCTCTCTTACAATGAGGAATTTTTTCTGATGTGCCTCAAGTGAGAACTTTGGATTGATTTGTTTGGTGATCCATTAATTTGTTTTCTTGAATATCTGCAGTATTCTCAGGACTCTTCTCTAATGCCAAAGTTTAGAAATTACTCTTCCTATCTTGCTTCTTCCATGTACAACTTTGCTTCCATAGAATGTCACCGATGAATACCATGGCTTCCAAAAAAGAGTGACTATTTTGGACCTCCATCAAGCAAGAGGTTACTGAACCATATTCCTTTAAAAAAAATATCTCAGTATTTAAAAGATTATACACAGTAACTACATTTGGTGTTGGTTGGTAATCCTTGCTCCATTTCATCTTGCATACAATGCGTCTGAGAACTTCCGCATTTTGATTATTGTTAAAATGTTTACAAATATGAACAAAACATATGAGCCCGTTTCATAGATAACATATCCAGCGGTTCACCCCATGCGCGCCCGCTGAAATACCACCAAACCAGCTGAATTTGAAACACCAAACCAGCTGAAAACCACCTCTGAACATATCTACTTCAGGGCTAGTGGTCTTTAAAACAAAATATTGGCTTTTGCTTGTTTTGCAATGATTAAAGATAAACCAATGTTTATCCTAGTCTGCTAAGTTCTTCCTGATCAGCAAGCCAAAGAATAATTCATTTAAAATGGTTTTGAAATGAAGTTGAATGGAATAGTTAGGATATAGTCTTTTAGTGTCTGGAAGTAAAACAAAAGGGAGGATTAATCTGGTTTTTAAATTATAATTTACTTTGAAATTGAATATATGTTTTATAAACACAACATACTACGTAGGAGAATTATGAATAAAGCAGCTGGTATGGCATCACTCAGGAACAATCTGAAAAACCAGCAGAGGTTTCTTCAGTGGCAGCTGGTGAGTGGAATACTTTTTCCCCCTTAGAAACTGAATCAGCAGTTTACCACATTCTTTTCAAAGAAACATTTGGCAGTTTAAATTCTGAAAAGGCAGAAGTCTTAGAGCTTAAAGGTTTAAGTTTAACTACTCTGCAGACATCCTGAATGGGCTTTGGGGATCCATTGTATGGGTTTAAAAAGCTGAGGCCCAATCATGCCTACTTTGGTGTCTGTTACTTTCCAATGGACTTTACTGGTGTGATTGATTTCAATATGGCTACCTTAAAGAGGCCAAACATTTATACCTCCTCTTCTAAAACAAGTGAACAAGTGAAATGTTTTGGCATTATTTGGATTTCTTGCCATTCAAGGAAAAATGGAGTGCATTAATAATAAGTACTGCATATTTTATTGGGTTCTTCAATTTCAAGAATATCTTTACCAAAAAATGCAATCACCAATTAATGAATGAACAGTCCGTTGTTTTTTTTTTTGTTGTTGTTTTTGTTTTTAATCTGGAGTTACATCATTAGGCTTATCTATTGTCAAATATTAAATGCTGAAAGACAAAAATTAGTGCTAAGTTTCTGATTTGGGACTATACATATATACCACCATTGATATTACACAATAAAACTTTAGTATTTCTGGAAGTCGTTATTTCAGTTAGAAAGCTATGGAATGGAATGTCTAATAAAACAGATTTGAACCTTTTTCCATGCTAAATTTACTTTCTGGGGAAATCTAACATTGAGTATTGTAAAAATGATGGTGATTTGGAAAAATGGAAATATTGATTGGATGATGGATAAATTATGAAGATGAATTTTTAACACTGTTGTGCTGAGAAACAAATATCTATCAGGAATAACTCAGTGACAATATTTACAACTATAATGTTTGTTACCATTGTTCGGACTACCGGAATTTTCAGCTTTTGAGATACTCAAAATATTAGTAAAACAGGTTAAAGTTTTTAAAATTAAAAAGCCCTACTATTAGTTGCATGGATATTTGTTATCAATAAATCAGTAAATCAACTTGATATGCAGATGTTAAGAGATGAGTGGAATAAAGACTTAGAAATTCCTATATTGCCCAGACAATATAAGAATGTCTTAACTTTTATATCAATTGTGATAACTTTTATGTTATGTCAATTATAATTGTAATTATGTTTCTCTTAAATATACATTTTTACAATTTCTATACTTTCTAAATTTTAGAAGGAAGTAGTGGATATAATAAATATCACTGCAACAAAAGCTAAAATTTTCAGAAGTTTATATTCTTGTGCAATGTATACTTACTACATGGAAACGGACAACTGGAGAATATAAATGGATTCTCTGTGTCCTTACTATAGCTAAAAGACTGCAACATTGGAAAGATAAATGGAAATCCCCATTTATTCAATATACTGAAGACTTGATTATGATTGCCATCTGTGAACA